AAAGAAAAAAACTGCCAACCAAGAATCCTTTATCCAACAAAGCTATCAATCAAATATGAGGGTATAATAGAAACTTTCCAGGATAAACAGGCACTAAGGGATTTTTCCAAAGCCAACCCTGCACTACAAAACATCCTAAAGAGAGTTCTGTGGACTGAGAACCAACAAGAACAGATAACAACCGGATATTAACATACATGGCAGCACCTCCCAGAACTAAATTGACAGACGGAAGAGTCGAGAACAGAATAAACTATAAGAACAAACTCAGAGAATCTGGGAGGTCAATCTATGATCAAAACAATTACAATATAAAAGAAGGTAAACACGTAGGAACAGAGATCCAGATGGTATGAAGGTCAGGCAGATTACAGGATAAAATAGACTGCACTAAATGGAGGGAAAAGTTAATGGATTTTAATGTAACCTCAAAGAAAATACCAAGAAAATGAATATCCAAGAAGAACATGGAAACATTAAAACTATGAGGAAACTCACAAGAAAGAACACAAAAAGCATGAACTAAGCAAAGAAAGACACACAAAACAACATCACAACAAAAAAACCATAACGGTGGAATTAATCCATACCCATCGATAATTACACTGAATGTAAATGGATTAAATGCACCAGTTAAGAGATAGAAAGTGGCAGAATGGATAAGAAAACATGATCCTTCAATACGCTGTCTGCAAGAGACACATCTCACACACAGAGACAAAAACAGATTAAATGTCAAAGGATGGGAAAAAAATATACCAAGTTAATTGCAATAAAAAGCAAACAGGAGTGGCAGTACTAATCTCTGATAAAATAAACTTGAAAGCAAAAACCAGCATAATAGATAAAGATTGACATTATCTCATGATTAAAGGGACAATTGAACAAGATGAAATGACCATAATAAATACCTATGCTCCCAATGAAAGAGCTCCAAAATATATAAAGCAAATTCTAATAGATTTGAAGAAATAAATAGATGAATTGACAACAATAGTTGGTGATTTTAATACACCACTTTCAAAAATGGATAGAACAACCAGAAAGAAACTTGAAAAAGACACAGAAGAACTAAACAACACAATCAGCCAACTGGACCATTTAGATGTGTACAGAGCATTGAACCCAACAAAAGCACAATACACATTCTTTTCCAGTGCACATGGAACATTCTCCAAAATACACCATGTCTTAGGTCACAAAACAAATCTCCATAAATTTACAAATACAAAATACTACAAAGCATCTTCTCAGACCACAATGCTATCAAATTAGAAATCAACAATAGGAAGACCAAGGAAATAAAGTAAAATACATGGAAACTGAATAACACCTTGCCGAAAAGTGACTGGGTAGTGGGAAATATACAGGAAGGGGGAAGGGAATGGAAGAACAAAGCGGATGGGAGAACAATTAGGCAAGTTTGCATGGGTTAAGTGGGACAGAGGTAAATAATAATGTATGCACAACCTTGGAACAATAGGGCTCTAGGATACAGTGATTGAGACATGGTTGGAATGGGAAAAAGGTAGGAAATAATGGTAAGATGCTTGGCTGTCTTTTGAATCTTGGTTTCCTTTGTATAACATTGTAAAATAAACACTAGCGGGGGAGAGAAAGGAATAGCCAGAAATATCACCATAGAAAGTTTGTAAGTCCGTCTTCTGCCTATAACTGATTGGAATACCTAAAATGGGGCTACAACGTG